TCTCAATTCATTTTCTTTATGTTTCTGCGCTTCTTCACGCATTTTATTCAAAAGTTTTACTTTTGCTCGTTTCATTTCCGCTAATTCATTTCGAAGACCTCTTAATCTGTTTTCATTCTGAGATTGACTTTTGAGTAATCTCGCATGTTCTTTCTTTGCAGATTGCAAAAGTCGCACTTCTTTTTGCATAGCAGAAAGTTTCTTTTCATATTCATCACGTAATTTTTTTACTTTTTCTGTTGGTGGTGTTGGTTGCTGTTGTAATGATTGTAATACCTTATCTCTTTCTTCCTGAGTATCTCTAATTCGAGCTTGTAATTGAGCAAGTTTATCTTCATAATGTTGTTTCATAGTTTGTAAACGTCGTTGAGAAAGTTCAAGTTCTTGTATTAATCGTTGTTTTACGTCAATATCTGATGTTAAGGCTTCCAATTCGCGACCCATAGCTGCCTCTTCTTCATCTTCTTCTACAAAAACATTACATGTAATGATTATTTGTAAGTAATCATTTTTTTTAAATTCATAAATAATATAATATATTCATTACATATATGTTTGTACACATAAAATATACCTTTTCTATCAGAATCATCATCAGAATCATCTTCACTAACAGAATCCTGAGTTATTTCTATATCATCACCTTCTGCTTCATCTCCTGTTTTACCAGCAATATTAATAGTATGTGTATGTTGTTCTTTCAATGCAGTTAATGTTTCAATTTCTTTTTGTAATTCTTTCTTAGCATCATTTAATATTGATGTAGAATCACTATGAAATATGTATCCTGAATCACCATAAGGATTTGCTGCATTAACCTATATAAAAAATATATATAAATTATATAGAAATTAAAAAATTATTGAGAAATTAATTTTAGAAAGATAACATTATATTATTTCACAGAAAAATAATATTAATATTACTTTATATGAATTCTTATATATACCTGAATTTGTCGTTTCTTCAGTTGTTGATACATAGCTTCAGCTTCCAAAAGACGAGCTCTTAATTCTTCTATTTCTTGCAAATATCCTTGTATTAAACTTGTTACTTCAGGATTTTCTCCAGTTGATGATACCCATTGACCAGCAGCTTTTTCTGCTTGTAGAAGAACATTTTTTGCTGTCAATGCTTCAACTGTTTCTGAAAGAGCTTTAACTCTAGTACGAAGGCTTTGTAATTCACTATTTAACATTTGATTTTCATGCCAAGCATCATTTATACCATCTTCTCCGACAACTCTTTTACCTAAGAAAAATAAAAATAATAAATTTGTCACTTTTTCAAATAAAAAATATATATCACAAAAATCAATTTTTTATATCCATTTACCTTGTCTATATTCCATTAATTCCAATTGAAGCTGTTGTATTTCTCTTCTGAGAGAAGCAATTGTTCTTGAACTCTTATCCTGATTAATTGTAACTTTATTCTTTATATTTCTTGCTCTATTTGCATATTTCAGAGTACTCAAAGTTTCCATAAAATCTCTATCACTTGGTGAAACACATGCTATCATAACTGTTTGACTATTACCTACAATCAATTTTATTAATATCTTAATACAAACATAAAAATACTTATTCTATAATTTAATACTTAACATTTTTAATATTTTATTACCTCCTAGTGAATCTTGAAGTAGTCTAGTCAGTTTTGAATCTCTATATGGTACATGTAAAGCTCTTTTTGTTTTATCACCAAGAGCAGAAATTACATTACCTAATGCCAACTATAATGCAAAAAATAATTATGATAATTGAAATATTATGCAAGTTTTTTAAAAAATTATCAACACATTACCAATCCACAATTTATGGATATTCCCTCTTTTGCTCTATCTCCTGTAGCACCAGTTCTTTTCAGTCTTTCTGACCCAGCTAAATCTACAAAATGAAATTTTGCAGTTAAAGTTTCAAATTCGCTGGTAGGTTCAGAACCACTTGTATCAACATCAGCATCAGGATCTTCAATTTTTATATATCTTTGTTGTTTTATGTATAGGGTAAATATTGCATGTGATCTTGATGATTGGGTATTCATTTGGGTTGATCCAGTTGTACGTGATAATGCTCCTAATCTTAAATATTCTAATGCTTCTTCTGGACTAGTAACAATTCGAGGTTCCACTCCAGCTAAATGAATATTGCCTGAGGGATCTTCATGAATACGAGCACCACCTCTAGGTCCACCAGGTCCTAATAAATCTTTCAAATCCTCATTATATAACTCTAAAAATTGTGCAGTAACCTATTATAACATATAAAGAAAATTATTTATATAGAAAAAAATATATTATATATTATAAATATATAATATACTATAAGATATTTCAATTTGATATAAAATAATTCATTTTAACATAAATAAAATATAAACTAAAAGATGTAAAATAATACAATATATATTATATTAGAAATTAATTTATACAAAAATACTTTTCTTTTTATTAATGTTATTAAAATTTTATAAAATATTACAAACCTTAAATTCTGGAGGCATTTGTGCACGCTCTCTAGCATTATGTTGTTTTTCTATAATACCGTCAAATAAATGTTTAATAGCCCTTGGAATAATTCCAACTATAGTTTGATCAACTTCCACATCAAATCCAGTACCCATAGTATATGTTTTTCCAGAGCCAGTTTGTCCATATGCAAGAACAGTTGCATTATATCCATCTAATGCACCTTCTACTAAACGAGCAACACATGTTTCATAAATTGTGCTTTGTCCTATACCAGTATCAAAAACATAATCATATGTAAAGGCCTTGTCAGGTCCAAGAAAGACTTGGGGTTCTCCAAGAGGTACTTGAGTACAAATTCTACACATGTCAATTACTTCACGTGCTACTTGAGGCCTTATTCTGTTAATAACAATAAATTATAAATTTATAATATTATAATCATAATATATATAATTAATTAAAGATGTATATATAAATATGAAATAAAAAAATAAAATTTAATTTTTGTTTTAATGTATATATATATACGTTCAATTAACGTATTTATATTCATATTATATCATAATTACATTCTAAATGCCATAATCGATTTTACGCATCAATTGTTATTATGTATATATACATAAAAGTCCCGCGTAATAAAAAAATATGATTTAAAAAAAAAAATTTTTTTAATATTTAAGTAAAAAAAAGAAAAAAATAAATAAAAAAAAACTAAACAAACAAAAATAAATTATACAAATTATACAAAGATGAAAAAAACTATGTATGAAAAGCAAAATTCATTCATAAGAAATCAAGATGTAAGTATTCATTATACAACCAGTAATAAAACCTACGCATTTAATTCTTTAAAAGGAGATATTATATGGTTAAAGCATTTATAATGCAATATTGCATAAAAGAATGCTGACAAAATTTTAATTGTAAAATAATTTAAAAAATGCGAGAAACATAGAAGATGAAAACATAAACGAAAATATATAATCGATAATAGAAAGAAAAAGCAATATTATTTTTATAATTTATTACATATTTATTACTAAAATCTAAATTATGTACAATTAATTTTAAAAAAATTATTAAGGAATTACATAGATGTTGATAATTTGCATAATTGTTTCACTAATATTTAGAGAAATCTGTAACCATTTTGAAATGCGAAATGGTCTACATAAGATTTTCTAAAATCATGAAAGTGTAACATGATGAATCGATACATTTTATAATTCTTCATTAAACTTACAATAATAGACTTCTAAAATTTAAAAAAAAAATAATATTAAATAAAATACATCGAGAACAAATATACAATTATATACATCAATGATAAGAATATTAAGATGTACTGCAATCATTAAAAAACTTTTTGAATTCGATTAATACTTGACGCAAATTTCGAAATTAAGTTAAGTGCATATCATTAATGTGATAAGCTGTCATCGCATAAAATCATTAATGTTAGTTTGACAATGTAGTCTAGTCGACACTACAGCGTCTTTTCAAAAAAATTCTTTAATGCTTTGACGTTTTAATATAAAAAGCGGACTTACCGTACGGCAACGCGTACACTCGTATCATCAGACATTTCGATGTTAAGTATTGTGCAATTCCTTAGAACGTAAAAGCAACAGAACTGGAGAAATCAACGAGAAATTACGATTAGGCTGAACTATTAGGCGACAATTATAATATTTCAATATATGAATATACTGAATGCGCACGCGTTATTAGATGCGGTAGTTGTAAAAATTCCGCATTTTTCGTCGTGAACACGCGCATAGATAACCATAAAATCCACTCAAACATGTCTCATAACGAAAGGAAATCTCTATCCTAGCCGCGTCAACTCAAGGATTGTATGGATCCTGAACTGAAATCATACGTGACAGACATCTTTAATTCTTTATGACTTAAAGTGACTATGTGCATCATCTGTTGATAGTTTTAAAAACTACTAATAGCTTTATCAATTGGAAATTATCGACTGTTTTCTATTCTTTTTTAATTGTGTGAATATATACAAATTAAGTTAATTAAAACACATACAAACATATAATGTATATAATATTTAATTTTCATTCTAATTATTAATGCAAAATATACATGATATGCAATATTTTTTTGTGTTACATACAACAGATTATAGATTTTTATTTTATATTTTTTGAACGATTTATTTTTGTGTACGTATTTAAATTGTAACATGCTAGATGGCATATCCTGTTTTTTCTCAAAATTGATATTTCAGAAATCGATATTGAGAAGAATATAAAATTCTATAACATCGTGTCTCTTTTATATTGTGTTAAAATTTTTATTCTATCTTATCCTGCTTTGATGATATTTTTCAAATATAAGAGATAGCACTGATAGTCTATTCTTATCTGATTTTCTAGTATTTATTTTCTTTATATTAATTTCATTTATAATACTCTAAGATAGCGCTGATTCCTAAATTATCACCTATATCACCTTTTTTCTCACTAAAATGATAACTTATTTTCTAATGTTGGTATACCTGAACATTCATAAATATAAAATAATATTGGTCACTTTTCCGGTTACGATCATTCTTTCAATACAACAAGATGGCTGATCAGGTACGTATGCATTTAATAATAACGATATGTATGCTTTTTTTATATTTATTTTCATTATTTATGAAATATAATTGTCCATGACATTAATTTTATTATCATAATTTGTATTTATGTAAAAGTTTGATTAAAAGATTTTAAAAATTTTGAAGGTTAATTGATAATATAATTGCTGCACGTGGTTAGAATATTTAAATATTCAAATGAAATGTATTATATTCTTTTAGAGTGAACGTGCATTTCAAAAACAACCCACGATCTTTCTTAACCGTAAAAAAGGTCTAGGTCCCAAAAGACGGAAGCCTATGAGATACAGTCGTAATGTAGGCCTTGGTTTTAAAACACCTCGTGAGGTAAATATATAATTTATGAAAAATAATAAATTTATAAAAGACAAACTTTAATAATATTCAAAAAGTATATTATAATTTTATTTTTTAGGCGCTTGAAGGAACTTACATTGACAAAAAATGTCCATTTACTGGTAACATTTCTATTAGAGGACGTATTCTTACTGGAGTAGTACAAAAGATGAAAATGCAAAGGACCATTGTTATACGTAGGGATTATCTTCATTATATCAGAAAATACAATCGTTTTGAAAAACGTCATCGTAATATGAGTGTTCATCTTAGTCCTTGCTTTAGGTTTGTTCGAATAATTTTAAAAAGTTATTATGAAGATTATATGATGATAATGACGACGGTCTTCTGAAATATAATTTGAAGTAGTTTATTCGTCTTCTGAAAAAAAATTAAATTTTACATTTGTGATAGTTTCTTTTCTTTTATTATATATTATTATATTAATGTTTATTACAGAGATGTGGAAATTGGTGATGTAGTAACAATTGGTGAATGCAGACCACTTAGCAAGACAGTTAGATTTAATGTTCTGAAGGTTTCTAAAGGAACAGGATCTAAAAAAAGTTCAAAAAATTTTAAGGTTATAAATATTATAATTTATAATTAATAATAACATTGATTTTTTTTATAAATTATTGAAAAAACAAAATTTTAAAATGATGAAAACAACGACGGTCTTCTGAATTTATTAAAATGAATGACATTATATCATATTCTGAATATTTCAAAAAGATTATTTCAATATATTTCTAAAAAAAATCTAACATTCTATTTTTATTTATTTATTTATTTTTTTTTTTATTACAGGAGACATCAACAATATTATGAAGAAAAGAAGGAAGTTACATAAATTATCATCTTGACTTGTATCTTTTCATGTTAGAAATTAAATAAAAACATTTCTAAACAAAATTTTTTATCATTTGTTTTGTAATTACAAGTAACTTCAAAAAATGATATTTCAGAATATATTAATATTTTATACCTTGTATATAAATGGATATAATAAATGTTAGAAAGGTTATAAAGTAAGTCATAAATATATATGTTAAAAAATATATTTTTATAAATTTTAACGAGAAAAATATTTTATCAAAATAATTTTTACATTCTAAAGCACTTATTGTCAATTAAGAGACCATTATATTTAATTACAAAAGAGCATATTATATCAATAGAGTGCATAAATTCATCACAATCATCTTATACTATTAATGTATATAATATAATTTTTTTTTAATAATATCAATATAAATAACAACAGAAATAATTTCATATCGTGTGGATTATCAAAATATTATTAAAAATTAAAATAAGATATATAATATCCATTAACATTTTTGTACAAATCTTTATAAATAATTCAACTGCCAATCAGCATATCTTTGGCGATTCCTATTTTTAAATGCTAACATAATTAAAGAAAAATTTATGAATAATCACAAAGGCACTATGTACTGTGCTATTTAATATTACTCTATGATATTTAATTAAAAATTGATGTATATATTTCATTTTTACAGTTTAAATATAAAAAAATAATATCTTATTCATTAAATATCATATATTTTTGCCAATATTAGCAATAGTATTCAGATCAAATTTTCGAATTTATATATAGTCTCACTCATATAAAATATAGTCATTTTTAACTGATTAATATTGCAAGTTTTTATGACTGTTGTTAAATCTTGTACTTATTATATCAGCAATATATAATATATTTTTATTAAAAAAAATAGCTAATGATTAACCAAATGATTTTTAGAAGAAAATTCAATTATATAAAGTATATATATAATAGGTCCAGCAAAACCTAATAATAAGGAAAATCCAAGAAGTTGTGTCCATGATAATCCACAATCATCACCAGAACATCTAAATGTTTCTGTTAAATGAGGATTTTTTGTATTACTCTCTGTTGAAGTAAGTAATTGATCACATTCTGAATTGGTAATTTCTAAAGAATTACTATTGTTGTATGATGATAAAGGTTCACAAACAGAATTTAATATAATTGTATTAATTTCTGCCTTTGGCAATTCAATCACAACAGGATTTTTTATCACATTTAATAATGGATCTACCATTATTATATTTTCTGTTTTTTCGTCAGAGGTAGATATACTTACTTCTCTTCTGTCTAACTGATTATTTTTTTGTTCATGTTCTAAGGTTTCAGTCAATAAGAAAATGGTTGTATAGGTACTTTGATGAATCTCCTTGCATGTATTTCATTTTCTTTGTGAATCTTGTTGATCCTTTTCAATTCAGAGATCTAAAAATATAATTTCTCATTCAAGTTTATTATAAATTATTCTTGAATTGATTTTTTTTTAAACTTTACCGTGCATCTATACCGTAATGCCAATGCTTGTAATGTGTCTTCTGATTTCAATGGAACATTTATAACTTCCACCTTACGTGGCAATGATTTATTACATTGTTGCAGAGGAATTTTTGCAGTTTCTTCATCTTCACTATTTTCATCATCTGAATATAAAAAGACATAATGTGGGGAACTATCCCTCTGATTTCCACGTTGATAAACCATTTGTCTTTCAAGAAATCTTTTTGCTAAATACACAAATATAATTTTAAAACCACAAAAATATTAATTATTAAAAAATTAATAATTTATTAAAGAAAATTTTGAAAAGAACACATAATTTGAGTTATATATATGATCTGTCAAATTATTATTTACGACTATTAAGATTGTTAATTACCTTACACTTTTTATTTGATACAAATTATCTTTGTTATCTTTTACCGTTTTTCATGAGCATTGTTCGAATGTAAATAATATTTCTAAATAGAATTACTACTTAAATTTTGATAAAATGTAATTCCTTTCACAAGTCACATATGCGTTATATTTACTTACACACTCTTATAAAATAAAGAGAGGTTAAGGTATCTATTAATTCTATGATACAATGAAACACATCCACATGAAATATTTTCATATTACTGTATATTAAAATGTTTGGATTTCAGGAAGAAGGTGAAACTTTAAAAGATAAATCAAAATGTGCTCATTTGCGTGCAAGCTTGAAAATGTGTTTATTGGAAACAGATTGTTGTAAAATAGTAAGTTATGAAATTATATTATTACAATTATCCTAACCTTTATTTACGATATATTATGTTTATAAATATTCGAAATATGACTTGTAAGTTTGAATTTATTTATTTTATAGCAAAGACGAACTCCTAAAGATTGTCTTGTAAGCATGGATCCATCTGTTCCTGAAGAATGCTATGCAATACGTCAAACATTTTTTGAATGCAAACATTCAATTGTAAGTATTTTATTTAAATAAGCGATATAATACAAATAAACAAGTTAGCTAATTTTAATATATATATATATATATATATATGATATTTTAGATTGATGGAAGACGAAGATTTAGAGGACCTAAAGGTTATTAATATTTAATCATAAATATAGAAAATAAGGCAATAACAATCCATAAGATATAATATTATAAGTGATTTATTAATATTCTGTTATTATTCGTTGTACATGATATAATAAATCCTATCGCAATTGCGAAATATCAATGTATTATACAATCTCATTTTGTTCGACGAAACCTGTCAGGATCCCGCGATCGAATTCGCAGATAGAACTTTATTTCTTGGTATGATCGCAATGTTACCCTGAAGAGGCATTACTCCCACGTGGAGCAAAAGTATTTTCATAAATAAACTTGTGCAGACAAAGAATCGTTATTTAATGGTGTTTTTCCTTAATAGGACAAAACCAATCAATCACACCTATAATCGAATCACGCAGTCACGCGGTCTCTTGTGCCGCGTTCAGTCGCATACGTATTTTTACGAGTGTATCGTTTCAATCGCGATACACGTGGGGATCACAGTAAAATCGCGAGTTTATTTCTCGTTTATTTATTCATCTTATATTTAAAGGACATCTTGTTCCACATTTTTGTTTTAGCAGAATACGAAAGGACGTATTTTAATAAGTTATACGCCGTAGATTCTTAGAAATCTATGTTAACCGATTGCGCCTGCGCAATCATTCTAGCTATTGTCAGTATGCAACAAGCGTATATTGACTATACGTTTTTATTTTTATTTTCTCGTCTTTTGTACTACAATATCGAATTACGCTACTCCTCCTCTTTCTAAAAATTCTACGGGCACCTAAGAAAGATCTGATAAAAGCTTTTCCCGCGTCTTTCGATTGATCTATTTATTTTTCCCGACAAAAAAAGATCTATTCTCTCATCGTTAACGTCCAACAAAGTAGAAATTTAAAAATTAAACGATTGTGTCAATTGATTTCGCTATTCTAGATTCGAAATCATAATTCATTCGTGAATCCTATCATTTGCAATCAAAACCCGCGAATATCAATAATCCAGGCAAGGATATGTAATATCAAATATACGAATGCAATTAAAAGATTAGGAGATTATATTTATAAAGTATTCTTGATCTGAAAAGGTTCTATCAAGTTGAGATTTTTCTTTTCTAACTGATCTCGAAAAAGAATGTAACATTCTCAAAGAGTTTATTTTTTTTTTTTTTTTTTTTTTTTTTGATTAAGAAGTATTCGCGACATTTCTCGTTATATTCGTTGTGATATATGTGGTAATAGTTCGAATATCACAGTTTTTCGAGTATATGATATGTAGTTTAACGATTTAATCGATAGTCTTCGATGTAGTAATAAAAGTGTCTTGCAAATTTCTATATTATATACATGCAAATTGCTCTCGGTTATCGAGTAACGAATACGCTCGCATAAAATGTTGGATGAAATATGTAAAGTCGAAAAATACAAACTGGCCAGAGGCATAGCTAAACGGGTATGCAGCCCGAAGCGCAGATTTATCATTGAAATTTCTCTAAAGCGTATACGAACGTGCCTCCCTTAATGATATTTTTTACCATTTCGTTGTGACTAGAAATCACGAGATAAATAGATCTTTGATTTTTTCCCATTGGCTGGCTTGAATTCTGGTAAAGGAGGAGGGCTCGTTTCATGAAATTATGAGATTTATAATAACGTCGGCAGTACGGCTTAATAAAATGACGAGTGATGCTTTATAATCATATGAAATTCATTACCACGATAGTACAGTGCGATATATAGAAAGTAACTTTATAAAACTGGGAGAATTTGTAAAATGATCAAAGTGTACGTATCATACAAAGAGAGGATGCTACTAATATTATAAAGACTATTATCGCGACTCAACGAAACGAGCCCCAGAAAACTCTCTATTACACAGAGATTATGTTTATTAACCATTACATTTTCATATTTTTTTACTGATCAAAGCAATTGTTTTGCTATATTCGAGATTGAAATATTGCAATTGATGAATTTATAACCATGCCAGCCAAACCACGCAATACCATAAATTTATGATATTCATTGTATCTAGCCATAGTAGATACAACTTATCAACAAAGACCAGCCATATTTCAAATGATTTGTTATTCGAAATGGAAAATTCATAAAGTGGCTCTGTTTTGTTGGACTATTGTGACATCGTTGGCGCGTGGTCAGCATTTCCTGAGAAATCAGAAGCACACCGAAGGTCTATAAAGACCGGTGTAACCGCATAAACGGGCACGTAACGCGGGCAACAATATCGCTGCCGCGGAGAGATTGTCTTGCAATTGCGAACACTCGCAGATCAGTAGGTACATTTTGTCGCCTTGTGACATGGACTTGTGCAATGTGATTCGCCTCAGGCCCACCGATTTCGGCAAATATCGGTACATCATACGGGCACCTGAAGCAGATATACAATCACAACAAAAATTTAATAATTCATTTGCAAATTAATATTGTTACAGGATAAAACGATCAGATGTAATATATTCTAATAAAAGAGAACGAAGTACCGGTCCAATAGAGCCAATTTTGCTCGAACTTAAGGCCATCGTCGCCCTCGAATACTTTAAAAATCGAGACAATATAGCCTGTGGACGGAATCGGTGGTCTGACACCAGGTGGTTCTAGCGGTGGCCTCGCTATGGTGGCCACTTCGTTGAACAGATCCAATGTGTGATTGGCCGCATATCGAAGATCCCGAGGATCGAACTTTCTCAAGGCAGCGCATTGAACCTCGTTATAGAAATCAACGGGATCTGTGTTTTGCTTGTTTATTAAATAATACGTGATGAATGGGAAATCCGCTGAAATCAATTGAAAATTACAATTAATCACAGATTTTTCGAAATTCAATCATTATGTATTTGTAATTTCAAATAGACAGAATTACCATTTTTTTCCATATTCGTAAGAAGAATACTCTGAGAAGCTGAGGGTGCGATCTCGGCGACCAATTCGGCTGCAGTATCCCGTTGTAGGACCAACGGCCTGGAAACAGGAGACTCGACCAAAGGATCCAATGGCTCCAGGGGTGTCATAAAATGGGCGAGAACACATTGCTTGGGATCTTCGACTTCGAGAACCGACAGAGGACTTCCTGGCCTCTTTTTGTCCGCGATTGGGGCATGCTGGAACGAGTCGGAATAAAGCTGTAGTTAAAAAAACAATGATTAATCATCTGTCCACATAACTTCTCGATTTTTGTTTGCTTTGTTTGCTTTCGAGAACACGTTACATCGTACGAAATATATTTTAAAAAGTAATATCTTTTGAGAAAGTAAAATAAAAATAGAAGATATTAGCAAAAAATTCGTAATTTTAACGCTTTACACGCATCATTTATATTACGTTAATGCGTCATTCATCAGACTTTTGTTGTACATCGCTCGGTTAGTTACGCTTTTGTCTATTTTTACGCGTTTGAGGCCAAGCCAGCAAGGCCAAGCCGTAGCTGCCCATCGAGTCTCTAAGGCCAATAACTCGAGTATTCTGGTTTTATCGAGTGCATTCCTGATTAGCGTAGTTTCGTGCGGATCGTTCGAAGGATTTAAAAGAATTCACCGAAAATATTATAGATATACATAATAGAATAATGGAATCTAACACAAATGGATTACCTATCTATCATTTCGAGAAAGATCTCACTCTTTATTTGAAAACAAATAATCTCGATGTCGAAATCTTTGCTTTCAGCAAATCGATCAATTATCCTACTGCACGCAAAGTGTGTTAACGTTGAACAAACATATTTCAAAACGTAATTGCCTAAAAATTACGAATTGCAAAAAAACGTGTATCAAAACAGATTCAAAAAAATAGGCGATAATAAAAATACATGAAAGAACGAGTCGAATTCTGTCAGTATTTTTACCAAGCCATAAAACGGCATTCATTGTGATATATTATATTATTAAAATCAAATCATCTTGAATTTATAAATGAACATGTTCAAAGCATAAAAAGTAAAGAAAAAAAAAAAAATCAAACACAACGAACGAATATTGTTCGATGCGTCGAATTGCGTATAAATTTGCTTAACATACCGGTACTCCCGCTGGTAAAAAACGTTCGAGAGATGCGAGGGGAATGATGAAACAGTCGCGGTCCAAGGTAGCCAGGGAGATTGGTTCGCCACGTGGAGGGCTGTTTCCGGAAACCACCAGGGGCGTGTATGCGCCAGACGCTCGGTTACCGCTGAAGGAAACCTATAAACGCCATACAATTCCGGATGATTAACTCTGGTGACCTGACACAAACTCGTGTATACACGTACAATTCATACAAATTGGCCCGTCTAGTACCGAAGAAAGTTTCCACGAGTTGTGCAGACAAAATAGGGGACTTCTTGTTTTTTAAAATAGACGCAAGCTTCAATCGAAGAGAAAAATATTTCCATCAAATGGATGAATATTTTTATATTTTTATTTCGTGTTTAATTGAAATAATACCTATCATATTTGAATGATCATTCTCAATATTCAAATGAAAGATTGGATTCCACTTATAATTAAAAGGTAAAACAATAGTTGTTGACCCGATTTTTCATATCATCGTGATTCTTCAAGTATACTTCTATCCTTTCAGATGTTGCATTTGGACGAAATAGACGGAGTGTTTGAAGTATAAACTGGTTGAAAACAAACTTCTTATTTTAATTTATACAACTTTGATATCACAACGTACGTATTTCTTTTAATTTTTTTATCACGACACTACCTCATATCTAAAAAAACAAAAAAAAAAAAAATACATTTGAAGATCAGACTCGCACTACACAACCTTAAAAATTTTGTTAACATTTAACATTTTCTCATTTCTTTCAACCGATCAATTAAACGTAATAATTCTTTCATTTATAGCCGATGATCGAGTCGAAACACACACGGGCCAAGCCAACATCATTGCCAATCGTAGCATAGTGTTTACACGTTGAGCTCGGTTCTGTTGCATTTTTAACAGACGCGTATCCACGGAACGACACCCCCGAGTAACAAGTGAACATTGAAGTCGTCTCGCAATGTAGGTTAACACGATTTTCTTTTCCAGTCATTCGACGGCCAGCTTAGCCGTGATTTATGAAGAAACCATCTCGTCTCGGCATTTTGGTTTAGAGCGCGACATTTTCGTCCAAAAGGGAGAAATGCACTTTTGCCCAATATTAAGTACAATCGAACGAGAACGAGTTGAATGGAAAAAGGTTAAGGGTTGCGAGATAAGGTTATACACACTGTGCCGAGTACTGTTTTATACTTCACGAAGTTTCTTTTATGGAACGTTTAAAAATTTTAAGTGAACTATGGCGGATAGTTCTCTTCTCTTTTTTTTTTTTATTAGGTTGGTGTATATATATAAATTTTAAGTGAAAGTAATTTTTCTATGATTTTATATATGCTCTTTTTTAAACGGCTGATGCAGTCAAAAATCGAAGAGAAAAATATTTCCATCAAATGGATGAATATTTTTATATTTTTATTTCGTGTTTAATTGAAATAATACCTATCATATTTGAATGATCATTCTCAATATTCAAATGAAAGATTGGATTCCACTTATAATTAAAAGGTAAAACAATAGTTGTTGACCCGATTTTTCATATCATCGTGATTCTTCAAGTATACTTCTATCTTTTCAGATGTTGCATTTGGACGAAATAGACGGAGTGTTTGAAGTATAAACTGGTTGAAAACAAACTTCTTATTTTAATTTATACAACTTTGATATCACAACGTACGTATTTCTTTTAATTTTTTTATCACGACACTACCTCATATCTAAAAAACAAAAAAAAAAAAATACATTTGAAGATCAGACTCGCACTACACAACCTTAAAAATTTTGTTAACATTTAACATTTTCTCATTTCTTTCAACCGATCAATTAAACGTAATAATTCTTTCATTTATAGCCGATGATCGAGTCGAAACACACACGGGCCAAGCCAACATCATTGCCAATCGTAGCATAGTGTTTACACGTTGAGCTCGGTTCTGTTGCATTTTTAACAGACGCGTATCCACGGAACGACACCCCCGAGTAACAAGTGAACATTGAAGTCGTCTCGCAATGTAGGTTAACACGATTTTCTTTTCCAGTCATTCGACGGCCAGCTTAGCCGTGATTTATGAAGAAACCATCTCGTCTCGGCATTTTGGTTTAGAGCGCGACATTTTCGTCCAAAAGGGAGAAATGCACTTTTGCCCAATATTAAGTACAATCGAACGAGAACGAGTTGAATGGAAAAAGGTTAAGGGTTGCGAGATAAGGTTATACACACTGTGCCGAGTACTGTTTTATACTTCACGAAGTTTCTTTTATGGAACGTTTAAAAATTTTAAGTGAACTATGGCGGATAGTTCTCTTCTCTTTTTTTTTTTTATTAGGTTGGTGTATATATATAAATTTTAAGTGAAAGTAATTTTTCTATGATTTTATATATGCTCTTTTTTAAACGGCTGATGCAGTCAAAAATTTTTTGAATTCGATAAATTTTCGCGTACAACTTTCACAGTTTCTTAATTTCAGTTGATGGTGCGATTAACAACGAGGCAAAATTTGATCGAAGAACGATATTTCATGTACACACCTAACTCTATTTTTTTTCTATCTATAGACTGACTATCCTTATCTAGAGAAGGCTCGTGTGGATCTATAGTAATCTGGAATGATTCATAGTACTTGAAGTAGTATCGAGAGAATATCAAGGTCTCGTTTATTATTAATTAATAATCATTAATGCCTTGTATTATTAATTAATAGGATAGGATAAGAATTTAGTAAGTACGGCAATTTTAATCGTTAAATTTTTTTCCGTTTTATTAAACAATGACAATAACGCAGAGTGGAGTGTTTCCATTCAAATTATAATAAAACGATCTGGCCCAAATGTTTTTTGGCGCACGTGGCGCATTGGTGATTGAAATTATTTCGTAACAATGAACCACGCAGTTGAAACACAGGATGTATAATTAAAGTTCAAGATCGAGGTCGAGGTATTGATCGAACCTACGCGAAGACTACAAATTTTCTTCCGCTCGAGCCGAGAAGCTAAGAGGAATAAAGGTAAATCGTAGTTTTTTCCATCGGGATTTCCATTAATTCCCATCGATTCTAAGGTATAACGATTCCAACCCGTTACATCTTTTCATTTAAAGGCAAAATACGAAATTTTCATTGCACAAAATATTTTCATTTCAGAATTTATTTGTTTAAAAATATCTCTCTTCTATTGGAATCTCTGGGATATTTTTACAAAATTTTGGGAAAAGTAGAGAATATAAATGAAATGAATTAATGCAAAAAAAAAAAAAAAGTATGATATTCAGATAAATTTTTATCGGCACGTAAAAACCATTTCGTCACGCTGATACTGGCTATGTTTCATGTTTCGAAAGAAGGCATCGACGTAGCGGATACATTTGCATTCAGGAAACCGAGCCGAATGTTATACCGTTTGTACGCGTTTCGACTCTGTTCCATCGAAGACGTTGAAAAGTCTGCCTAACGGACGGTGAGCCGCTTTACGTTCCACAAGGGTGAATTAACAATCGAGAATTTTGAAATTTTTCCGACTGCGTTCGTAAAATCTTAACGCGCTATCGTTCGTCAATGAAAATCTGCCTTCAACTAGAACTTGTCTTAATTTATGAAGCTTTCGTTTATTTTTTTCTTTATTTTAACATATAGAAAAAACAGTGATTTCTGTTTTAATTAACCGATTATGCGAGCATGTTTTCTGATCATTCAATTTAATAACTATATTTTAAACGATCAACTTTAAAATTATACAGACTTGGACAAACTTCAATGCACAAAAATTTATACACATGATTATTTTTCCTCAATTTTGATTCTTCAAATAATATTGAAAACTATCTTCATTCGAATGAAATGACAAATGCAAATTATAAAAAACAAGTAATAAAAATTGTTGACTTTCTTTTTACAGACGGTTCCCCGGATTCACTTCTTTCTTCTTACAATCAATATCGCAACAATCTTTCAAACGTTCTTTCAACAGTCTTAGAAAAAAAAAAAGAAAGAAGGATCCATTTCGACAAGTAACCATCGCAACGATTCATTGGGGAATTGAGGTCCGATTCGAGGCGTGGAACGAGCGCAATGAGCGCGCAGGATATCGAACAGAGTCGACCGGCTCGCAGGAAATTTATGGTACCTCGCGAGATCCGCCTTGGCGTGCAATAAGATAGCGAGTTTGCGTGTCGACCAGGAGGATAGAGCGTAGGTGTAAGTTTATGCCGTGTACGTAGGGTACGGCCCCTCGTTTCCTCCATAATTCCAACCGGTCGCGAAACTATCCCGTATGCGCCCTAACTGCGCCTATCTACATGTGCATCCAGCCCAAAGCGTGTACTTCCCCTTGAAATATCGTCACGAGTGTCCGGCCGGCTACTCGTCGATACTTAGTTACAACGTTACAAAGTTTCGCGACGAAGTTTTGGGAAAATAAGAAAAAGGAACACTATTCCCATTTTATTTCTTCATTTTTCAATGAGCTTGAAATTATCGTTAACGACATCAAGAGTTAATACTTTTTAATAGTAAGTACATGTACGTACAATTGATGATGATCGATCTTAGTTTTTGAATTAGAGTGTTTTTCATTTTTATAATTATTGGAATTGTATCGATTTGGATTCATTGATTTTTATCTGGCTGAATCAATGAACAATTTAAAAAAATGCTCGTAAGTTGTTATCTATCGATGTTGACAGTTAGTTGTACTAAACAAAACTACAATCTCAAACATACTTCAAACTCATCAAAATCAATGAAAAAAAAAGCTGATATTCACGGCGTTTCCTTCTATGTAATACGATCAGATAAGCAACAAGCTTCAATCGAGCACGATAACGTATCGTGTCCCCGATTTATCATTCGATTGCGTATCGTTCGAAACAAGATTTACGATTCTCCTCGGTGCATTCGTTTTGTAAGGATTCGGGATTCTCCGCGACGCGTCAATTTTGTTCGATCCTACTCGTTGGTCAATGTTTTCTCCATTGGACGGATCGAACAGGTTGATACACGCCTTCTGAAAGGTCTGCTCAGCGGTAGAATTGTCGACGCTCGAAGTGGCTCCCATTGATCGGGAATTGGGTTTCTTCGATTGCCACGGGTCTTTGGTTGCTTGTGTGGTAGTTTGCCGGATAAGAGAAGGGGGCTGATTAAATTTAACCTACATTCCCGACACCTGAACCGAAGTATTTGATTAGACACGAGCGAACGACCACACGTTTGGCATCAATCTCTCCGATCGAAACGTAACGCGGCGACCAAGATTAACCCCGCCATTTTGGAGAACGGTAAAATCAAAAAGTTATCGCTATTATTTTACCGTTAGTCGATAATTCGTCGAACGATCTTGAAATGACCTTCTTTTCCATTTACAACAAATTCGATTTAAATATTTGATCGACGTTCTAAAATCCTTACGGATGACCATACGTTTCATTTTAAATTCTTTTCGTTGATTAAGATTAAAGGTTGAAAAATTTACAACGTCAAAACAAAACTAAAAAAAAAAAAAAATATCCCCTCTCTCCTTACCTGTCTCGAAGCAGTCGGGGTGGAGGGTTCCGAGGGTTCTTTCTGCTGCGAAGCCTGTTTCCTCCTCGCCTGTCCTCCGGCTCCCTGTCCCGATCCCTGCCCTCCTCCACCCCCTCCACCCCACTTTATCACGTGGGGCCCAGAATTCTTCCTGGGAGGAGGGCCCAGCCTCTCGGTCGGTTCCTCCGGTGGCGAGCCGAGGGCACCGCCTGTCGGTGGGGTGAGAAACAGGTGAGTCCGGTATCCGAACCCCTGGTGCTCGTGATCGGCCATCGAGGGGAAGTAGCCGAACTCTCTGCTCCGCCGTATCGGTGCGCGCGCCCCGACGGCCGAGTGGCCGGCGCCGCGCACCACGCCGAACCGAGTCCCCGTGTACCCCAAAGTGGCCGGCCCGTAAGCGGTGCCGAGGACCGACCGGCCCTCCAGTCCGCCTCCTCCTCCACCTCCTCCTCCTCCACCACCACCGAATCCCTTCTCGCTGAAGTTCTTGCGGAACATAAGATTCATGATTGGCTGAGAGAGGGCGGTGTGTGTGACGGGCGAGAGAATCGTATGTGTGAGGAGAACGCGATTCTTTTTCGATTTTCTTTGCCGATTCTTTCGTGTTAATCGATGTTCGTTTAATTCTCTTTAAAATCGATAACT